CACCGGGATCATTCCATGGCCTAACCCTCTCCATTTCCAAGAAATCGGCGACAATCCAAGTGAGTTAACTAAACAAAAATCATCAGAAGCAATAAAGGTGGAAGTATTTGACGCACCCTGGTATTCCATGCCAATGTGGTCGTGACCAACTGCATTTTGAATTGAGAACCTCATATGAAAACGCGTTGACCTTATCTACTAATTAGGGTACTTCTCGGACAGCACCGGGTTCATTCCATGGCCTAACCCCCTCCATTTCCAAGAAATCGGCGACAATCCAAGTGAGTTAACTAAACAAAAATCATCAGAAGTAATAAAGGTGGAAGTATTTGACGCACCCTGTATTCCATGCCAATGTGGTCGTGACCAACTGCATTTTAAATTGAGAATCTCATATGAAAACGCGTTTACCTTATCTACTAATTAGGGTACTTCTCGCACAGCACCGGGATCATTCCATGGCCTAACCCTCTCCATTTCCAAGAAATCGGCGACAATCCAAGTGAGTTAACTAAACAAAAATCATCAGAAGCAATAAAGGTGGAAGTATTTGACGCACCCTGTATTCCATGCCAATGTGGTCGTGACCAACTGCATTTTGAATTGAGAACCTCATATGAAAACGCGTTGACCTTATCTACTAATTAGGGTACTTCTCGCACAGCACCGGGATCATTCCATGGCCTAACCCTCTCCATTTCCAAGAAATCGGCGACAATCCAAGTGAGTTAACTAAACAAAAATCATCAGAAGCAATAAAGGTGGAAGTATTTGACGCACCCTGGTATTCCATGCCAATGTGGTCGTGACCAACTGCATTTTGAATTGAGAACCTCATATGAAAACGCGTTGACCTTATCTACTAATTAGGGTACTTCTCGGACAGCACCGGGATCATTCCATGGCCTTGCCCCCTACATTTCCAAAAAATCGGTGACAATCCAAGTGAGTTAACTTGAAACTGAAACTTGAAACTTTGACATATGCCTGTCGTCGCCGCCTCTCCCAGGATTTAGTAAACTGTCGAGAGGATGCGTCTCTGGTAGGCACTATCAGGGACGTTTGACCACTACTTTGTTGCCATCGCGCTGGGCCGCGACATATGCCAAACAATGTGGTGGAGTTTGTGGATGGGGGGGGGGGGCTAACTGGTTGTTATCCGACCCGAACGGGTACGGCCACAGCTTCGCCACTGGTATATCTGCCTTAGAGGGAACTCTGCTTTCTAGTGATAGCTTCTTCTCCGGGCGTTCATTTGTTTCCGATGTTCCTATCCTTTGGTATCGTTCCCTTCCCTGTTCTTCCCTTTTTTATTCTCCTCTCCTTGCGTTATATTCTGTCGTCCCCTCTTCCTCCTCTTCTTCACTGCTTGTGCTTATGTCTGATTCTTCCTCCACCTCCAGTGTTCTTCTGTTTTCTTTCTTCATTTGATGCTTGTCTCTGCTCCACTCTTCCCTTCTTCCCATGGCAAGCCCCGAGGCCGTTACCGTTTGGTCTATGGTGGTGTTCCATGTGAAGCAGGGTCGACCTACCTTCCATTCCGAGGCACATCAAATCTTGGCAGTCCGTAGGATAAGGTATTTGTCCCCAGTATCTCATCTGCCTAATCTTCAGTGTCCTGGTGATCGTCTTTCCCTCTAGTAATTCCCTTATCTGCTTTCTTGTAAGGTTGCTGTTTTCCATCAGTATCCTAAATGCCATCCGCTCCGCCCTCCTCAAAGTTCGTCTGTAACTTCTTGTTAGTGCGGAGGTGTTAACTCCGTATAAGATTGCCGGTGCTATGATCGTGTTGTAAATCATCATTTTCAAGCTGGCCTGTATTTTCTTCTCTCGTATGAAGTTCCGAATTCCATGTGGGATTCTGAATGCGTTGGTTATTCTGTCTTTCACACTGTTGTGCTTGCTGAGTGTGCTGCTTATGTACGCTCCCAGATATTTAATCTTGTGCTTATGAGGCGACCATTTCCAGGTATACCTCGCTGGTTTGGACGAAGTCCTCAATGTCTTCTAACTTATTCGCGATTACGAGTATGTTGTCCGCGTACGCCAGTAGTGTCGGTAGTTGTAATTGGTCGCTTGTGCTGGATATACTCTCGCTTTTTTCTTCAAATTTCTCTACCTCATTGCCTCGGCACTTTTTGATTACGATTGCCGTACCTCTGCTAGTTCTCTCCTTCTTCCCTCCACCTATCCACGTCGTAGTTCCTTGTCGCAGCCATCCCACTTGCTAGTTTGGTTCCTTGTAGACTGCGGCTACATCTATTCCTTGTTTCCGTAATTAATCGTCAATTAGCTGCCTTTTCCTTGGGTCGCTTGCCCCTTGCACATTCTACGTGGTTACCCTCATGCTGCTGTCTCCTTCTATATCTTGGGTCCTATCCTGGTTTTATCTTCTCCTCTGCGAGGCACTCTTTCCGGACACCATACTAAGACTGTATTCGTTAGGGGCAGCGGCTCCTCTCGCTTCTTCGTATTCGCCTAACACTCGCGTTCGTCGGTATTCCTCCTCTTCCTCTTCTACCTCCCTATCAAGTTTTCTGCCCGCATCACGCTATCATAGTGATTCCGGACATTGCTACTCCCTAATATGTATGCTAGGTGGCAGTGACCTGTGGCTCCCGTTGTTGCTCTTGGTTCTATAACATGCTTCCCCCCTCCTTCCTCGTACACCGCTATCTCGCTGTTGTACGTATTGGCCGCCGCCACCAGTGACTCGTATCCTCCCCAGAATCCCTGCTTTCTGTGGTCCCTGAGGTATGCTTCGATCTTTTCCTCCATCTTGGCATATTGTTCATACCGGGGTTCTAGTTCCACTACGTTTCCTATCAACTGTGGGTAGAAATCTTCCAGGTTTTCCCTGATGTAAGCGTTGGTTTCTTCTCTAATCCTTTTGGTTAATTTCCTGTGAGGTTCTGATGTCACTGGGAATCCCCTCAGTTGATACCCAATCGCTCCAAACAGGCAGTCCCCATCCTTATTTATCCTGACGCACTCTAGGATGTGCCCGTTTGTGCGTACTTCTTCGGTCATCCTGTTTGCTCTCTGTTGCTACTCGTTAAGAGAAAGTAGTTGAACACTGAAAAGTGAACCCTGAAAGAGATAATTGAATTGAGTTATGATTTGCCCCAGTGAGACGTGCCCGTGCCCATGCCCATGCAGTTTAGTCTTAACTTAGCCGCCCTGTATTATGTGTGTTGGAAGGTAACCGTGAAGTGGAATTTAGATTAATTGGGTCGATCAAAGGGAGCAGACTTCTTATTTATCCCGTAGAATGAATTTGTTTGAAAACGTTATAATTCTACCCGCACAAAAACTTGCCAGCCTTCGGAATGCATTATTATTGACCTTAGCGTTTTCCCATTATAGAAAAAAAAATTTCGTCAACTTGAGAATGTAAATGGCCTGCTTCATGGGTGGGTGTTTGTATTTCGCCGATTGACAGGTTTATGTTTCCTTTCAAAAGGGTCTAATTTTAATTTTTCATGACCATGTGTACTGCTAACCCGCGATATTCTGACGTCTCGTTTATCTAGCTAGACTACCTGGTAAATTGTCCCCCGTGGCCCGTGTCTCTATTCTATCACTAGTTCAATTAAATTGAATTGAATTTGATTTAAATTAAATAATAACCTTAACCCTAGTACTTAGCTTTTCGCCCTGTTGATTTAGTTTCTACACTGTTTTGCCACAATTTAATTAAATTAAGATCACGCGTTTAATTAGCTTTGTCTTTTTTTAAAAGACAAATTCAGCTTGGGCTTCAGCCGGATTTAAGCTCGGATCCTCCTCGCGTTCAATATTTACCGAATTCTTTACTAAAGTAGGTAAAGTAAACAAAGTAAACACAGAACTCGCCAGGGACAACCGTCCTCTTTGCCAGTCCAGATCGAACTCCGGTGACAATCCAAGTGAGTTAACTAAACAAAAACCATCAGAAGCAATATAGGTGGAAGTATTTGACGCACCCTCTATTCCATGCCAATGTGGTGGTGACCAACTGAATTTTATATTGAGAATCTCATATGAAAAAACGATGACCTCATCTACCAATTAGGGTACTTCTCGGACAGCACAGGGATCGTTCCATGGCCTTACCCCCCTCCATTTCAAAGAAATCGACGACAATCCAAGTGAGTAAACTAAACAAAAATTATCAGAAGCAATAAGGGTGGAAGTATTTGACGCACCCTGTATTCCATGCCAATGTGGTGGTGACCAACTGCATTTTGTATTGAGAATCTCATATGAAAAAGCGATGACCTCATCTACCAATTAGGGCACTTCTCGGACAGCACAGGGATCGTTCCATGGCCTTACCCCCTCCATTTCAAAGAAATCGACGACAATCCAAGTGAGTAAACTAAACAAAAATTATCAGAAGCAATAAGGGTGGAAGTATTTGACGCACCCTGTATTCCATGCCAATGTGGTGGTGACCAACTGCATTTTGTATTGAGAATCTCATATGAAAAAGCGATGACCTCATCTACCAATTAGGGCACTTCTCGGACAGCACAGGGATCGTTCCATGGCCTTACCCCCTCCATTTCAAAGAAATCGACGACAATCCAAGTGAGTAAACTAAACAAAAATTATCAGAAGCAATAAGGGTGGAAGTATTTGACGCACCCTGTATTCCATGCCAATGTGGTGGTGACCAACTGCATTTTGTATTGAGAATCTCGTATGAAAAAGCGATGAACTCATCTACCAATTAGGGTACTTCTCGGACAGCACCGGGATCATTCCATGGTCTTACCCCCTCCATTTCCAAGAAATCGGCGACAATCCAAGTGAGTTAACTAAACAAAAATCATCAGAAGCAATAAAGGTGGAAGTATTTGACGCACCCTGTGTTTCATGCCAATGTGGTGTTAACCAACTGCATTTTATATTGAGAATCTCGTATGAAAAAGCGATGAACTCATCTACCAATTAGGGTACTTCTCGGACAGCACCGGGATCATTCCATGGCCTTACCCCCTCCATTTCCAAGAAATCGGCGACAATCCAAGTGTTTGAGTTATAATACAAACTTTAATTTTTTTAAATGGTAGTTATAGTTGGCCTTTGATATTTTTAAAAAGGACAAATTTTTCTCTTTATAATGATATAAGTCTTGCTAATCTTATTTCTGTTCATATCAAGGAATTACCGAATACCATACCAAATTTAAATGTGTCGTTAAAAATTCCTAACTGAACATGCTTTTTACACCCTGGATGAATTTGGGGATCATGCGAAACTTACAAACATGTTAGATGTAAGTTAGTAGTGTGATTTAGTGTTAATGTATTATTGTTTGTTTCTTCCATTTTTGACTTATGTTATACACACTTTTACATGTAAACCTTTTTTGACAATTGTAAGTGCTTTGCACCCTAACATGAACATGAATAAATAAATAAATAAATAAATGTACTTTAATAAATAAACGCCCTGCAGTAATTTTCGTATTATTGAGAGGTAAGTAAACTGAGTTGACCATGGAAAACAATATCTAGTGAGATAGGTACCTTTCATTTACGATGAAAATTGGGCAAGCCAATGTTACCTATCTTCATTTTCTACCAAATGAATTTCAAAATATGGAGGATGGGTTAGATTTGGAAACACGACGTAATTTAAACTGGTTTCAACACAACGGTGCCCCGCCGCACAACTAACTGCAAGATAAATATTATAATAGACAGTAATTAAGAGAACAAAATTGTTTCCCATGGCAAAATCTGTTTTTACTACTCTTAATAATACAAACAGTTCTGTATCATGTTTATTTGTCTATAAGTAAGTACAATGAACCTTATATAATTGTAAACAGAAAAAAATGCACTTTTTAAAAATGTCACCGCCAACTATGATTACCATCTAAAAAAATGTAAGTTTGTGTTATAGCTCAAAAATTATAAAAGAAGAATAAATATTAATAAATGTATCTTATTAAGCGGAAACAAATATACAATTTTTGTTCTTTGCATATTTCTGTATTTCTAATACTAACGATTCTACAACAGTTAAATGAAAGATCGCTGAATCTGTTTTTCGCTCATATCTAGTAAACTGTGAATTAAAAAAAAAAAAAGCATATCTTGAATAAGCTCTTAAAACTACAACTCTTTCCTCATTTAACCGAATCTCTATGTCTTACGGTTTCGTAATGTTTAAAATAAAAAAAAAACTCACCCTATATTGAGAATCCCATATGAAAACGCGATGACCTTATCTACCAATTAGGGTAGTTCTCGGACAGCACTGGGATCATTCCATGGCCTTACCCGTCCATTCCTAAAAAATCGGTGACAATCCAAGTGAGTTAACTAAACAAAAATCATCAGAAGCAATAAAGGTGGAAGTATTTGACGCACCCTGTACTCCATGTCAATGTGGTGTTGGTGGTGGTTTAATTAGGATCCCCAAGTGAAAACGTAGTGACATTTTCTGACGAATAGAAACCACTAAATTACACCCCTGTATTCCGTTCTAGAGTGGTGTTGGCTATCTCCAGTTTTAATTAGAAATCACACAAGAACGTTTGTACTTCTCGAACAGTATTGCGATTATTCTACGGCCTCTGTCTCAAAAATGTCGTTGACAATTGAAGTGGATTGACTCTAAAATAAATCCACCAGAAGTAGGTATGTGACGCATCCATGTATTTCGTTCCAAAAATATTTGCCAATCCTCTACTATACCTTCCAAAATTAAGATTTACGTATGGGAGCGTATTTTGATTTAATTATTCGCAAGACACTGGATGAAAACTACTGCATGCACCACTCTATCGTTCGTAAAAGTAATTAAAACTTACCCTGTCCATGTGGAAGAAACGCGCTTCATACTAACGGAATATGTACAACCGCTCTCACAGGCGACTCCATCGCAAATGATTTGCCTTTAAGAATAAATAAAACTATAACAGCGATATAGATAAACAGATGCAGGTTACACAACCACGTGCATCACTATCCTTGCATACCTACAGGAAATTAACTGTGACGTAAGTTTATGTAATATAAGTAAATGACCAGTCAATAATATGGAAGAATTAAAGATATACGTTTATAAGAAAGCGGGTGACATTCCAATGTGTCATTGTCATTCGTGAAACTTTATTTAGGAAGAGAGTTAGAAAATAAAAGAATGCAATGTTAATCACCCTTTCAGATAGTGCCCATTACCCCTACAATATAGTAAACCTACAAAACCTGTATGTATTGTGGGTTGGGTTGATAGAACAGCCCTTAGCTGAAACCCAACCCACTTAAAAATAAAAACTAAAAATAAATAAAATAAAAACCGACCTTACCCTTCAAGTTGCTACTAAAGGTCCTACTCGAAGTGAAGCTGAAGTATGTGCTGTTATATTAGAGGAACAATCTGAAAAAAATATTTTTATTACCAAAATAAATGTATGATCAGGGATACTTTCTTACATGATCACCTTGACGACTGAGACCTTCGTCACATTGCAATAACTTCTTCATAAAATGTTGCTGCTTGTAAGTTTGGAAACGCCATTCCCTAACGCTAACCCAATTTTTCCGTTCAAGGTGGAACTCCCTAGGTCGGGATAAATCGAAGATGTTTTTGTAATTGTTGCTGGGAGTTTAATATTGTCGCAGTGGATTTCACCATTTGGTTATTTCGTTGAAACAGGGTGGCCCCCTTCCCCATGTAGCAAGCCAACAGTTCGGCCATATGTAAAAGCATTGAATAAAATATTAAATCAATGGTAATAATAGGAAATAAAAGAAAAATGATGATTGGAGAACGTACAGTAGAATATGAGAACAAATTTAAAATGTAAAGGACTTGGTACAAAAGCAGAATAAGATGAAAGGTTTATTAATTATTGGAAAATTTAGAAGAAGTTAAGAAAGGAATGATTTCACTCCGTGGGGAGAACGTTAAGTACGCGAATACAGTTGTCCTCAGTTTACGTTAATTGTAAATTACAGCATTTATTCAATAAACTTTTATTGCAAAAATGATTTACCGTCAAACTTATAACTAATACACAATATTTCATAGTAAGGGAATTTCGGGAACAGCTTAAACCTGCCTGGATGAATTTCAAGTTTCCATCATCGGATTTGCCGGGGAATAAACAAACACAAGAAAATCAAGATGAAAAGTATACAACTAATGTGACAGACACCAAAAACCACCAAACTGGAAAGCAGCTTAGATATTGCCACTAAATAAAATTCTGATAATTTATATTCTATAATATTGTACCCTTGGTCCATTACAGCAGAAATCAAAACTACGGTTTTACTAGAGAATTAGAAATTAAATGACATATCACATGATACCATTTGGCATTAAAGCATTAAATTTTGAAAGGAACTTACTTGATTCCAATGTGATCATTAAAATCAAAAATGTTTTCCTGTCCGAACGTATTTTGATTTATTTATTTGCAAGGACAGTGTCTCGATGGACCACCCAACCTTTCATAAAGCTAAACAAAACTCACCCTTTTCACGCGGAATATAAACAAGTATCACACGAACGCTGTACATACATACAACCGCACGCACTGGCGATTCATTCGCAAATGAACCACGTACATTCATAATCTTATGTAAGTGCAATGTTGATAAGGACAAACAGATGCAAGTCATTTGACCACGCGTCTATATTATCATTATATAATACATGATGCTACGGTAAAACTAATTATTGCCACGATTTTTCATAATAAATGGTCAATTGAGGAAGGAAAACTTTTTGAACAGCACCCGGAATGATATTTTCTTAGTTTCATAAATGGCAGAAGTTTCTCTTCCTCTAAAGTTTTAAAAGGAAACGTACCCCGAATTTATCAGGTTGACCTTTTCTTATAGATTTTGGAGAAACGACAAGAATTTTCAAGATTGAACCACTACATAAAAAGCTGCTTTCCTTTTTCTTTGGAATCTTTGACCTTTAACCAAAAATTCGGAAAAGGACATTTTCTTGTAGATTTTGATCTATAGGTCAACCCTTCACATGCCAATTATAAATAAAATCCCGTCCAGTTTTCAAAATACGTAATTTTTAAGAAAATACGCTCCTACCTACGTTGCAGTATTCGATTGAGGGGGTTGTAAATGCTGTGATTTATATTTCCTTAATGAATTAAATTAAAAAGATCTACAAGCAACCCTTCAGTTGCCAAGTATAAATAAAATCTCATCCCGTATTAGAAATTCCTGTTTTAAGTAAATTCGCTCCTACCTACGTTGCAATATTCGATTGAGGGGGTTGTAAATTCTGTTGTACATCAAATATTTCAATTTTATTGATCGATTACAATAAGAGGTTCTACAGACAACCCTTCAGTTTCCAATTACAAGTAAAATCCCATCCCGTTTTAAAAAGTCGCAATTTTTAAGAAAATTTGCTCCTACCTACGTTGCAGTATTCGATTGAGGGGGTTGTAAATTCTGTTGTACGTCAAATATTTCTATTTTCTTGATCGATTATAATAAGGGGATCTACAGACAACCCTTCAGTTTCCAATTACAAGTAAGATCACATCTCGTTTTAAAAAGTCGCAATTTTTAAGAAAAATTGCTCCTACCTACGTTGCAGTATTCGATTGAGGGGGTTGTAAATGTTGTGGTAAGTCAAATATTTATATTTCCTTAATGAATTAAATTAAAAAGATCTACAAGCAACCCTTCAGTTGCCAAGTATAAATAAAATCTCATCCCGTATTAGAACTTCCTAAGTTTTAAGTAAATTCGCTCCTACCTACGTTGCAATATTCGATTTAGAGGGTTCTAAATGTGGACGTTGAGGTTTGCTCCAGATGCCAGAATTAATGACGGGTCATTGATTGTTGGCTATATTTTCGAATCAGTTGAGCATAAAAATATAGTTTATTAGCATTTTTGCCTTCTAATAACATTTACTTTCATGTCCCAAAATTTCTAATTTCTAATATAAATTGAAGTGACCAAGTAAGTCAATGTTCACACAACCCGCATTAACCTAAGCCTTTTGTCGCATTTCCTTCCCTTAAAAATTAACATGCGGCACAATGGGTGTGAAATACTAAGTGACATGGGGCTTACAAGATCTAAATATGTATTTTTTGGGAGTTTTGGCTATAGTTTTTATTTGAACGTGAGAATGACAGGTCTGAACTGTTAATCTGAGAGATGAATTTTCATTCCCGGAAATTTGATTGCAACCAATCTACTAGACTACATCATGTGTTGTAATCAGGCATGGACTAGGGAGAATCACCAACACCGTACGTGGAGGATTTAATTTAATTACTATTATTTATAAAATTATTTAGGTAATTTCTTTATAGCCAAATACTAGCTCCCCTAATTATTTTAGAGCAAAAGTCCAAATACGTTTTTTTTAGAGAAAAAAATACTGCATCTGTTCATACGATTACTTATAATTTTCCATTTTTCAAAACCGTAGAAATCCACAAAATAAAAAATTACATTTTTATAAATCAGTGATGCTTTGGAATCTTTTAACAAACTACAAGCGCATCGCATCTAAGTTATCGTTGTTTGAAGTCGAGCGATTTTCATATTTAATTCTGTTTCAACTAACCGACTAACGAAAAACCGGCCTTTGGGGTAATGTTTTTTTAGAGAATGTAATGTTGCATCTGCATCAAATACTATTTGTTTATAATTTTCCGAAAGCAGAGTACAGAATCGAAGAAAAAGAAATTGATTTGAGGACTAAGAACAAGTACAAATGACCCATGGGCAAAAAGTGACACTGAGAAAGCAAATCTATTTGCAGATCATCTGGTTTCCGTATTTCAACCGATAGACAACGACGTAGACCAAGAAATAGAACAAAGTATCTCTACTCCACCTGTAATGCATACGCCTATCAAACCACTGACACCAAAAGAAATAGCGAAAGAAATCAAACTTCTAAATCCAAAAAAGTCACCTGGATCTGATCTTGTAACTGCAAAAATGTTGAAGGAATTACCTAGAAAGGGAATAGTAATGCTCACTTACATTTTCAATGCTATTATACGACTTGGATACTGGCCAAAGCGTTTAAAAACTGCGCAAATTATAATGATAAATAAACCGGGAAAAGAACCAACAGAAGTCTCTTCTTATAGGCCTATAAGTCTCCTCTCAATAGTCTCAAAACTACTCGAAAAATTGGTGCTTCATAGGTTAAATGAAGACCTGCCTCCGGAAAACTGGATACCAGAACATCAGTTTGGGTTTCGCCAAAAACACTCGACAGTGCAACAGGTTCATCGTATTACACACACCATAAATGAAGCATTTGAAAAAAAACAATATTGTAGTGGTATATTTCTTGACATTAGCCAGGCCTTTGACAAAGTCTGGTACCCTGGTCTAATTTATAAAATCAAGTGTATTTTACCAACAGCTTACTTCACCATCCTAAAATCATACTTGAGTGAAAGAAAATTCCAAACAAAGGTAAATGAAGAGAAATCCGACTATTTTCCAATAAATTCAGGAGTACCACAAGGCAGCGTCCTTGGACCCTTGTTGTATGTCTTGTACACGTCAGATATACCGATGGCACAAAATCTGATAATAGGAACATTTGCTGATGACACGGCTATTCTTTCCTGCCATGAAAATCCTCAAATAGCCTCAAACAAGATACAAAACTACCTAACAAACCTCCAACAATGGCTGGAAAAATGGAAAATAAAAGTGAACGAAAGCAAATCTGCGCATATTACATTCACCCTCCGCAAAGAAACATGTCCAGCAGTTACAATAAATAATGTACAAATACCACAAACACAAACGGTAAGATACCTAGGACTACACCTAGATTCCAAACTGACTTGGAAACAACACATCAAAAAAAAGAAAAAGCAAGTAGAAATCAAAACAAGAGAACTTCAGTGGCTGATAGGCAGAAAATCACGGGTATCTTTGGAAAATAAAATCTTGATATATAAAGCAGTCATCAAACCAACTTGGGAATATGGAATCGAACTATGGGGATGTGCCTCCAAATCAAATATCCAAATCATACAAAGGTGCCAATCCAAGATACTCCGCCAAATTGCAGATGCTCCATGGTATGTAACAAACCATACAATACATACAGACCTACAAGTTCCAACAGTACAGGAAGTTATGGTAAAAAAGCCAACACGCACCATATTGTTATAAACAACCATCCAAATCTAATAATAGAGCAGCTTACAGAACCCGTAATCAACAAAAGACTTAAAAAACGGTGGCCAAGTGAACTAATTTAAAGATAATATGTACTAAATTAATTTTATGCAGGTGGTATCAATGGATATCTCCCTGATCACGTCCTTCTATTACTAGACATCTAGTAGCCGTCAGCATTTTAGCTCATAGAATTTATGTATAATTCTGATTGCTGAAATAAATTGATAATTAAAAAAAAAAAAAAAAATTTGAGGAAGAATTGATCTTAAACTGGTATTCGGATTTTCCGCTACTGCAGCCAAAACATTGAATGTATTGTAGCTTTCCTGATGGTTTTGACGGACATTTTGAACGTTATTGCAATTGCAGATATTTAACACTGTTCCTGTTCTTTGAAACTTGCGCACAATTCTGTCTACTGTGGCACTGCTGGGAATCGGTCAATTGGGGTACTTCACAGTAAATAAAGACGTTACTTGGCGGGCATAAAACAACTTTAACATTTCCTCTTTCTCTTCAGTTAAATACATGATAAACAATTTTATGATTAACTAATTTATAAACAAGTATAAATTTAATATACGTCAAAGGCAAATAATGAAAAGTTATCGCTGTTTTTTTTTGGTAATTCCAAGGCATATCTGATTTATTGTAAAATGAACCTTTTTATTTTGTCGATTTGTACGGTTTTGAAAAACGGAAAATTATGAGTAATAGTATGAACAGATGCAGTATTTTTTCTCTTAAATTATTTAGACTTTTGCTCTAAAATAATTGAAATTCCTATGCTGCGTCACGCTAGGCACCACCCTGTATACAAATGAAGTAATTTCAATGCATAAGAAGAAATACGTCCTAATGTACCTATTACATGCACCTACTATTCTAAAAATTCGTTAATGGAATAGGGTTCCATGTTTATTAAAAATTGTTTTAACCTTCTTTTAAATTCGTGAATATCCCTATAATTAGTTTAATACTTTCTGGAAGATGGTTATATAATTTTATATATAAATAAAATAAAAATAAACTTTACCCTTAAAGCTGCAACTAAAGAGGTCCTACTCAAAGTAAAGCTGATGATACACCATCGAATAGGTAGGTAGACAGTGCTCATTCCATTTGTCGATGACCACTTGCACTAGTGCTGTTATATTAGAGGAACAATCTGAAAAAAATATTTTTATTACCGAAAAGAATGCATGATCAGGGATACTTTCCTACATGATCACGTTGACGACTAAGACCCGAGTCACATTGCAATAACTTCTTCATAAAATGTTGCTGCTTGTAAGTTTGGAAACGCCATTCCCTAACGCTAACCCAATTTTTCCGTTAAAAAGTGGAACCCTCTAGGTCGGAATAAATCGAAGATAATTTTGTAATTGTGAGTTTAATATAGTCGCAGTGGATTTCACCTTTTGGATATCTCTTGAAACAAGGTCATCTGAAGCGACAGACTTATGTCCTTGGTCCCCTTCCCCATGTAGCAAGCCTTCAATTCGGCCATCTGTAAAAGCATTGATTAAAATATTAAATCAATGGTAAAACAAAAGAAATAAAAGAAAAATGATGGGAGAACGGACAGTAGAATATGGGAATGTACAAAATCAAAATAAGATGAAAGGTTTATTAATTATTGGAAAATTTAGAAGTTAAGAAAGGAATGATTTCACTGCATGGGGAAACCGTTGAGTACGCGAATAGTGTTGTCCTGAGTTTAAGTTAATTGTAAATTACTGTATTTATTCAATAAACTTTTATTGCAAAAATGATTTACTGTCAAACTTATAACTAATAACACAATATTTCATACTAACGGGAACAGCTGACCTGCCTCGATGAATTTCAAGTTTCCATCATCGGATTTGCCGGGGAATAAACAAACACAAGAAAATCAAGATGAAAAGTATACAATTAATATGACAGACACCAACAACCACCACACTGGAAAGCCGCTTAGATATCGCTACTAAATAAAATTCTGATAATTTAAATTATATTCTATAATATTATACCATTGGTCCATTACAGCAGCAATCAAAACTAAGGTTTTACTAGAGAATTAGAAATTAAATGACTATATTACTTGATTCCATGTGATCATTAAAATCAAAAATGTTTTCCTGTCCGAACGTATTTTGATTTATTTATTTGCAAGGACAGTGTCTCGAAGGACCACCCAACCTTTCATAAAGCTAAACAAAACTCACCCTTTTCACGTGGAATATAAACAAGTTTCACACGAACGCTGTACATACATACGACCGCACGCACTGGCGATTTATTCGCAAATGAACCACGTCCATTCATAATCTTATATAAGTGCAATGTTGATAAGGACAACCAGATGCAAGTCATTTGACCACGCGTCGATATTATCATTATATAATACATGACGCTACGGTAAAACTAATTATTGCCACGATTTTTCATAATAAATGGTCAATGAATAATTGAGGAAGGAAAAATTTTGAACAGCACCCGGAATGATATTTTCTTAGTTTCATAAATGGCAGAAGTTTCTCTTCCCCTAAAGTTTTAAAAGGAAACGTACTCCGAATTTATCAGGTTGACCTTTTCTTATAGATTTTGGCGAAACGACCAGAATTTTCAAGATTGAACCACTACATAAAAAGCTGTTTTCCTTTTTCTTTGGAACCTTTGACCTTTTACCAAAAATTCGGAAAAGGACATTTTCTTGTAGATTTTGATCTATAGGTCAACCCTTCACCTGCCAATTATAAATAAAATCCCGTCCCGTTTTCAAAATACGTAATATTTAAGAAAATTCGCTCCTACCTACGTTGCAGTATACGATTGAGGGGGTTGTAAATGTTGTTGTATGTGAAATATTTCTATTTTCTTGATCGATTACAATAAGAGGTTCTACAGACAACCAGACAACCCTTCAGTTTCCAATTACAAGTAAAATCACATCCCGTTTTAACAAGTAGCAATTTTTAAGAAAATTTGCTCTTACCTTCGTTGCAGTACTCGATTGAGGGGGTTGTAAATGTTGTTGTGGGTTCAATATTTCTGTTTCCTTGATCGATTATATTAAAAGGATCAACAATCAACCCTTAGATTGCAAATAACAAGTAAAATACCATCTCGTTTTCAAAATTCCTAATATTTAAGTCGCTCCTACCTACATACGTAGCAGTATTCGATTGAGGGGGTTGTAAATTCTGTTGTAAGTCAAATATTTCTATTTTATTGATGGATTACAATAAGAGGTTCTACAGACAACCCTTCAGTTTCCAATTACAAGTAACATCACATTCCGTTTTAAAAAGTCGCAATTTTTAAGAAAATTCGTTCCTACCTACGTTGCAGTATTCGATTGAAGGGGTTGTAAAATTTGTGGTAAGTCAAATATTTATATTTCCTTGATCGATTATAATAAGAGGATCTACTGACAACCCTTCAGATTCCAATTACAAGTAAAATCCTATCCCGTTTTAAAAAGTCGCAATTTTTAAGAAAATTCGTTCCTACCTACGTTGCAGTATTCGATTGAAGGGGTTGTAAAATTTGTGGTAAGTCAAATATTTATATTTCCTTAATCAATTATATTAAAAAGATCTACAAGCAACCCTCCAGTTGCCAAGTACAAGTAAAATCCCATCCCGGTTAAAAAAGTCGCAATTTTAAAAAATTTGCTCTTACCTATGTCGGCCGTATTCGATTGAGGGGGATGTAAATTCTGTTGTACGTCAATATTTCTATTTCCTTGATCGATTATAATAAGAGGATCTACGACAACCCTTCAGTTCCATTACAAGTAAAATACCATCCCGTTTAAAAAGTCGCAATTTAAGAAATTCGTTCTAACTACGTTGCAGTATTCGATTTGAAGGGGTTGTAAAATTTGTGGTAAGTCAAATATTTATATTTCCTTAATCAATTATATTAAAAAGATCTACAAGCAACCCTCCAGTTGCCAAGTACAAGTAAAATCCCATCCCGGTTAAAAAAGTCGCAATTTTCAAGAAAATTTGCTCTTACCTATGTCGCCGTATTCGATTGAGGGGGATGTAAATTCTGTTGTACGTCAAATATTTCTATTTCCTTGATCGATTACAATAAGAGGTTCTACAGACAACCCTTCAGTTTTCAATTACACGTATAATCACATCCAGTTTTAAAAAGCCGCAATTTTTAAGAAAATTTGCTCCTACCTACGTTGCAGTATTCGATTGAAGGGGTTGTAAAATTTGTGGTAAGTCAAATATTTATATTTCCTTACTAAATTATATTAAAAAGATAAACAAAACTCACCCTTTTCACGTGGAATATGAACAAGTTTCACACGAACGCTGTACATACATACAACCGCACGCACTGGCGATTCATTCGGAAATGAACCACGTACATTCTGAATCTTATAAGTGCAATGTTGATAAGGACAAACAGATGCAAGTCATTTGACCACGGGTCGATATTATCATTATATAATACATGATGCTACGGTAAAACTAATTATTGCAACGATTTTTCATAATAAAAGGTCAATGAATAATTGAGGAAGGAAAATTTTTGAACAGCACCCGGAATGATATTTTCTTAATTTCATAAATGGCAGAAGTTTCTCTTCCCCTAAAGTTTTAAAAGCAAAAGTACCCCGAATTTATCAGGTTAACCTTTTCTTTTGGATTTTGGCGAAACGACAAGAATTTTCAAGATTGAACCACTACCTAAAAAGCTGCTTTCCTTTTTCTTTGGAACCTTTGACCTTTAACCATAAATTCGGAAAAAGACATTTTTCTTGTAGATTTTGATCTATAGGTCAACCCCTCACCTGCCAATTATAAGTAAAATCCCGTCCCGTTTTAAAAATACTTAATTTTTAAGAAAATTCGCTTCTACCTACGTAGCAATAATCGATTGAAGGGGTTGTAAATTTTGTGGTAAGTCAAATATTTATATTTCCTTAATCAATTATATTAAAAAGATCCACAAGCAACCCTCCAGTTGCCAAGTACAAGTAAAATCCCATCCAGTTTAAAAATTCGTAATTTTTATGAAAATTCGCTCATACCTACGTAGCAGAATTCGATTGAAAGGGTTGTTAATTGTGTGGTATGTCAAATATTTATATTTCCTTAATGAATTAAATTAAAAAGATCTACGAGCAACCCTTCAGTTGCCAAGTATAAATAAAATCTCATCCCGTATTAGAAATTCGTAAGTTTTAAGAAAATTTGCTCCTACCTATGTCGCCGTATTCGATTGAGGGGGATGTAAATTCTGTTGTACGTCAAATATTTCTATTTCCTTGATCGATTACAATAAGAGGTTCTACAGACAACCCTTCAGTTTCCAATTACAAGTAAAATCAAATCCAGTTTTAAAAAGTCGCAATTTTTAAGAAAATTTGCTCCTACCTACGTTGCAGTATTCGATTGAGGGGGTTGTAAATTCTGTTGTACGTCAAATATTTCTATTTCCTTGATCGATTATATTAAGAGTATCTACAGACAACCCTTCAGATTCCAATTACAAGTAAAATCCCATCCCGTTTTAAAAAGTCGCAATTTTTAAGAAAATTCGCTCCTACCTACGTAGCAATATTCAGAGGATTTAGAAGGTTCTAAATTCTGTTGTGGGTACAATATTTCGGTTTCCTTAATCGATTATATTAAAAGGATCAACAAGCAACCCTTAAAATTTCAATTATATGTAAAATGCCATTTTGTTTTAGAAATTTGTAATTTTTATGAAAATTCGCTCTTACCTACGTAGCAATATTCGATTTAGAGGGTTCTAAATGTGGACGTTGAGGTTTGGTCCAGATGCCAGAATTAATGACGGGTCATTGATTGTTGGCTATATTTTCGAAACAGTTGAGCATAAAAATATAGTTTATTAGCATTTTTGCCTTCTAATACCTAACCTTTACTTTCATGTCCCAACATTTCTAATTTCTAATATAAATTGAAGTCACCAAGTAAGTCAATGTTCACACAACCGGCATTAACTTAAGCCTTTTGTCGCATTTCCTTCCCTTAAAAATTAACATGCGGCACAATGGGTGTGAAATACTAAGTGACATGGGGCTTACAAGATCTAAATATGTATTTTTTTGGGAGTGTTGGCTATAGTTTTTATGTGAACGTGAGAATGACAGGTTTGAACTGTTAATCTGCGAGATGAATTTTCATTCCCGGAAATGTGATTGCAACCAATCTACTAGACTACATCATGTGTTGTTATCAGGCATGGACTAGAGAGAATCACCAACACCGTAAGTGGAGGATTTAATTTAATTACTATTATTTATCGTTGGCAACTTGGATTACAGAGAAGATTGCAGGGACATGTTTATCCAACTAAGAGCACTAACTGTTCCTTCTATATATATTTTAAATTGCATCTTGTATGCCAGATCTCAATTGGACAATTATTCCTTAAGATCTGACATACACTCCCACAACACACGTTCGTCCACAGAAGTTTATGTGAAATACTGTAGGCTACACAAAACATATATGAGTTTTCAAAACACTTCTGTCATACTTTTTAATAAATTACCTGTAAGTATAAGAAAATTATCAATCCTAAGTCTTAGGAAAATTCTTAAATGTGTATTAATTAAACATGCCTTTTATAGCGTAGCAGAATTTGAAAATTTAGAAGATTTAGATTTCAACAATATTGTGTGACTTCTGCAAATGTATATTTTTTTGTTACAAGTATGCAGTCAATATATATTATTATTATTATTATAAAATTATTTTGGACTCTACAAAACTTGACCAGACGAACGACGTACAGACAAACACTAATCGTTACTTGATTTTAATCCGTGCGTTTAGTTAATCAGGCTAGAGCTGAGTTCTGACAGGAAACCCCGACCATAATAATACTTCTTAATTTCTTACTATATACAAATGAAGTAATTTCGATGCATAAGAAGAAATACGTCCTAATGTACCTATTACATGCACCTACTATTCGAAAAATTCGTTAATGGAATAGGGTTCCATGTTTATTAAAAATTGTTTTAACCTTCTTTTAAATTCGTGAATATCCCTATAATTAGTTTAATACTTTCTGGAAGATGGTTATATAATTTTATATATAAATAAAATAAAAATAAACATTACCCCTAAAGCTGCAACCATAGTATATTATGCTGCAACTAAAGAGGTCCTACTCAAAGTAAAGCTGATGATACACCATCGAATAGGTAGGTAGACAGTGCTCATTCCATTTGTCATTGACCACTTGCACTAGTGCTGTTATATTAGAGAAACCATCTGAAATAAATATTATTATTACCAAAAGAAATGTATGATCAAGGATACTTTCCTATACATGATCACCTTGACGACTGAGACCTGAGTCACATTGCAATAACTTCTTCATAAAATGTTGCTGCCAATGATTTTAAGCCAACTATGAGTTGCTCTGAGATCCTTGTAAGTTTGGAAACGCCATTCCCTAACGCTAACCCAATTTTTCCGTTAAAACTCTCTAGGTCGGGATAAATCGAAGATATTTTTGTAATTGTTGCTTTGTGAGTTTAATATTGTCGCAGTGGATTTCACCATTTGGATTTCTCGTTGAAACAAGGACATCTGAAGCGACCGACTTATGTCCTTGATCCCCTTCCCCATGTAGCAAGCCTTCAGTTCGGCCATCTGTAAAAGCATTGATTAAAATATTAAATCAATGGTAAAACAAAAGAAATAAAAGATAAATGATGATGGGAGAACGGACAGTAGAATATAAGAATGGACTTTGTACAAAAGCAAAATAAGATGAAAGGTTTATTCATTATTGGAAAATTTAGAAGAAGTTAAGAAAGGAATGATTTCACTGCGTGGGGAAACCGTTGAGTACGCGAATACAGTTGTCCTGAGTTTACGTTAATTGTAAATTACCGCATTCAATAAACTTTTATTGCAAAAATGATTTTCCGTCAAACTTTTAACTAATACACAATATTACTTAGTAACGGGAACAGCTGACCTGCCACGATGAGTTTCCATCATCGGATTTTGAGGGAAATAAACAAAAACACAAGAAAATCAAGATGAAAAGTATACAACTAATGTGACACCAAACACCACCACACTGGAAAGCCGCTTAGATATCGCCACTAAATAAAATTCTGATAATTTAAATTATATTCTATAATATTGTACCATTGGTCCATTACAGCAGAAATCAAAACTACGGTTTTACTAGAGAATTAGAAATTAAATGACTTATCACATGATCCCATTTGTCATTAAAGCATTAAATTTTGAAAGGAACTTACTTGATACCATGTGATCATTAAAATCAAAAATGTTTTCCCGTCCGAACGTATTTTGATTTATTTATTTGCAAGGACAGTGTCTCGATGGACCAATCTTTCATAAAGCTAAACAAAACTCACCCTTTTCACGTGGAATATAAACAAGTTTCCCACGAACGCTGTACATACATACAACCGCACGCACTGGCGATTCATTCGGAAATGAACCACGTACATTCTGAATCTTATAAGTGCAATGTTGATAAGGACAAACAGATGCAAGTCATTTGACCACGCGTCGATATTATCATTATATAATACATGATGCTACGGTAAAACTAATTATTGCGACGATTTTTCATAATAAAAGGTCAATGAATAATTGAGGAAGGAAAATTTTTGAACAGCACCCGGAATGATATTTTCTTAATTTCATAAATGGCAGAAGTTTCTCTTCCCCTAAAGTTTTAAAAGCAAACGTACCCCGAATTTATCAGGTTAACCTTTTCTTATAGATTTTGGCGAAACGACAAGAATTTTCAAGATTGAACCACTACCTAAAAAGCTGCTTTTCTTTTTCTTTGGAACCTTTGACCTTTAACAAAAAATTCGGAAAAAGACATTTTTCATGTAGATTTTGATCTATAGGTCAACCCCTCACCTGCCAATTATAAGTAAAATCCCGTCCCGTTTTAAAAATACTAATTTTTAAGAAAATTCGCTTCTACCTACGTAGCAATAATCGATTGAAGGGGTTGTAAATTTTGTGGTAAGTCAAATATTTATATTTCCTTAATCAATTATATTAAAAAGATCCACAAGCAACCCTCCAGTTGCCAAGTACAAGTAAAATCCCATCCAGTTTAAAAATTCGTAATTTTTATGAAAATTNGAAATCCCATCCCGGATAAAAAAGTCGCAATTTTTAAGAAAATTCGTTCCTACCTACGTTGCAGTATTCGATTGAAGGGGGTGTAAAATTTGTGGTAAGTGAAATATTTATATTTCCTCAATCAATTATATTAAAAAGATCTACAAGCAACCCTCCAGTTATCAAGTACAAGTGAAATCCCATCCCGGTTAAAAAAGTCGCAATTTTTAAGAAAATTCGTTCCTACCTGGGGGTGTAAAATTTGTGGTAAGTGAAATATTTATATTTCCTTAATCAATTATATTAAAAAGATCTACAAGCAACCCTCCAGTTATCAAGTACAAGTAAAATCCCATCCCGGTTAAAAAAGTCGCAATTTTTAAGAAAATTCGTTCCTACCTACGTTGCAGTATTCGATTGAAGGGGTTGTAAAATTTGTGGTCAGTCAAATATTTATATTTCCTTTATCAATTATATTAAAAAGATCTACAAGCAACCCTCCAGTTATCAAGTACAAGTGAAATCCCATCCCGGATAAAAAAGTCGCAATTTTTAAGAAAATTCGTTCCTACCTACGTTGCAGTATTCGATTGAAGGGGGTGTAAAATTTGTGGTAAGTGAAATATTTATATTTCCTTAATCAATTATATTAAAAAGATCTACAAGCAACCCTCCAGTTATCAAGTACAAGTAAAATCCCATCCCGGTTAAAAAAGTCGCAATTTTTAAGAAAATTCGTTCCTACCTACGTTGCAGTATTCGATTGAAGGGGTGTAAAATTTGTGGTAAGTGAAACATTTATATTTCCTTAATCAATTATATTAAAAAATCTACAAGCAACCCTTCAGTTGCAAAGTACAAGTAAAATCCCATCCCGGTTAAAAAAGTCGCAATTTTTAAGAAAATTCGTTCCTACCTACGTTGCAGTATTCGATTGAAGGGGGTGTAAAATTTGTGGTAAGTGAAATATTTATATTTCCTTAATCAATTATATTAAAAAGATCTACAAGCAACCCTTCAGTTATCAAGTACAAGTAAAATCCCATCCCGGTTAAAAAAGTCGCAATTTTTAAGAAAATTCGTTCCTACCTACGTTGCAGTATTCGATTGAAGGGGTTGTAAAATTTGTGGCAAGTCAAATATTTATATTTCCTTAATCAATTATATTAAAAAATCTACAAGCAACCCTCCAGTTGCAAAGTACAAGTAAAATTCCATCCCGGTTAAAAAAGTCGCAATTTTTAAGAAAATTCGTTCCTACCTACGTTGCAGTATTCGATTGAAGGGGTTGTAAAATTTGTGGTCAGTCAAATATTTATATTTCCTTAATCAATTATATTAAAAAAATCTACAAGCAACCCTCCAGTTGCCAAGTACAAGTAAAATCCCATTCCGGTTAAAAAAGTCGCAATTTTTAAGAAAATTCGATCCTACCTACGTTGCAGTATTCGATTGAAGGGGGTGTAAAATTTGTGGTAAGTGAAATATTTATATTTCCTTAATCAATTATATTAAAAAGATCTACAAGCAACCCTCCAGTTATCAAGTACAAGTGAAATCCCATCCCGGTTAAAAAAGTCGCAATTTTTAAGAAAATTCGTTCCTACCTGGGGGTGTAAAATTTGTGGTAAGTGAAATATTTATATTTCCTTAATCAATTATATTAAAAAGATCTACAAGCAACCCTCCAGTTATCAAGTACAAGTAAAATCCCATCCCGGTTAAAAAAGTCGCAATTTTTAAGAAAATTCGTTCCTACCTACGTTGCAGTATTCGATTGAAGGGGTTGTAAAATTTGTGGTAAGTCAAATATTTATATTTCCTTGATCGATTATAATAAGAGGATCTACTGACAACCCTTCAGATTCCAATTACAAGTAAAATCCTATCCCGTTTTAAAAAGTCGCAATTTTTAAGAAAATTCGTTCCTACCTACGTTGCAGTATTCGATTGAAGGGGTTGTAAAATTTGTGGTCAGTCAAATATTTATATTTCCTTACTCAATTATATTAAAAAGATCTACAAGCAACCCTCCAGTTATCAAGTACAAATGAAATCCCATCCCGGTTAAAAAAGTCGCAATTTTTAAGAAAATTCGTTCCTACCTACGTTGCAGTATTCGATTGAAGGGGGTGTAAAATTTGTGGTAAGTGAAATATTTATATTTCCTCAATCAATTATATTAAAAAGATCTACAAGCAACCCTCCAGTTATCAAGTACAAGTGAAATCCGATCCCGGTTAAAAAAGTCGCAATTTTTAAGAAAATTCGTTCCTACCTACGTTGCAGTATTCGATTGAAGGGGTTGTAAAATTTGTGGTAAGTCAAATATTTATATTTCCTTACTCAATTTATATTAAAAAGATAAACAAAACTCACACTTTTCATGTGGAATATAAACAAGTTTCACACGAACGCTGTACATACATACAACCGCACGCACTGGCGATTCATTCGCAAATGAACCACGTACATTCATAATCTTATATAAGTGCAATGTTGATAAGGACAAACAGATGCAAGTCATTTGACCACGCGTCGATATTATCATTATATAATACATGATGCTACGGTAAAACTAATTATTGCGACGACTGTTCATAATAAATGGTCAATGAATAATTGAGGAAGGAAAATTTTTTGAACAGCACCCGGAATGATATATTCTTAGTTTCATAAATGGCAGAAGTTTCTCTTCCCCTAAAGTTTTAACAGGAAACGTACCCCGAATTTATCAGGTTGACCTTTTCGTATAGATTTTGGCGAAACGACCAGAATTTTCAAGATTGAACCACTACATAAAAAGCTGCTTTCCTTTTTCTTTGGAACCTTTGACCTTTTAACATTAATTCGGAAAAGTACATTTTCTTGTAGATTTTGATCTGTAGGTCAACCCTTCACCTGCCAATTATAAATAAAATCCCGTCCCCTAATACGTAATTTTTAAGAAAATTCGCTTCTACCTACGTTGCAGTATACGATTGCGGGGGTTTAAATTTTGTCGTGGGTCCAATATTTCTGTTTCCTTGATCGATTATAATAAGAGGATCTACAGACAACCCTTCAGTTTCCAATTACAAGTAAAATCCTATCCTGTTTTAAAAAGTCGCAATTTTTAAGAAAATTCGCTCCTACCTAC